AAAAGCGATTCTGATCATTTTCCTAGTCTTAAACACAAAGGCAAACACTTTGCTTAAGTGGCTCTGGTACTACCATTTTCTGGCTATGTGACCTGGTACAAGTCCTTCATCGCCTTGCACCTCAGTTTCCCCATCTGTAAAATGGGGGTGACGATAAGCATGCCCATGGCATTGCTAACGAGGAAGTGAGCCCAGCATCCACCAAATGTTCAGTGCGTGTTTGCTATCGCTGTCCCCCGACCCCTCTGCCCCCATCCTGGGCCCCGGTGCCTGTGGGACGATGCTCCTACCTTCATTAGCCGGATTTTGGCCTGTGCCTTTCCAGAGTCCAGCTTCTCTCTGTGCATTTCTTGTGGCTGCCTCAGCTGGCTTGTCATCGACGTGGCGGACTTGGAATGCAACGCTAGGGCATGGGAAAAGGCAGAGAGGGAGTAAGGACATAGGCAGGCCTAGGATCGGGTCCCAGTACCATCCATTGAGGTGGCCCAGGCCCCAGCCCCACCCACTCTCGACCTTATAATATGTGACAGTGAGGCAGAGCATGAAACTCACGTCTATCAGTAAGCTCCCAGGCCTCACTTTGGGCCTTGATGTAAGGGACAGAGAAGTGCAGGAGGCTTCCCCGTGACCCTGGACACGGACAAGAAGAGTAGCACAGGAGACGGCCGGGTGCCCGCAATCTCTCCCACCAACCTGGCCGGTAGCAGAGTCAGACAGGGCGGGGGTTAAGGGCAGGAACTAATCAGCCAGACAGCCTGGGCTCGAATCCAGACACTGCTTTCCACTAGCCCGTGAATTTGGGTGGGTCACATGACCTCTCTGTCCCTCAGTTTTCCCACCTCTAAGATAGGAGTGATCATCATGCCTACTTCATCGGGTTGTCGTGAAGATTAAATGTTATTCTGCTTTAAAGTGTGTCGAGAAGTGCCTGATCCATACTCAGTGCTGCATATGCATTTCTCGTTGTCACTGCTGTTACTGATGACCTGAGGATTGGCATCAGAACCACAGCACCACACGAAGGCACAGGCGCTGTGCAAAACTCCCGACTGGCTGTCTGAAATACCTCTAAAAGCTGTGGCCCTGCCAGATAAGGAGTATACGAAAATAGTTCCGATCAGAATAAGGCATTTGGAGGACATGTTCTCAGAACCCCTGCTTCCTCACAGCGTGTCATGTGCCAGCCCGGGACAAATCACCCAAATCAAGGCACCTGGGTGGCTCAGCCGGTTGAGGGACTGACTTCAGCTCAGGTCACGATCTCATGGTTCACGGGTTCGAGCCCTGCATCGGACTCTCTACAGTCAGCACAGAGCCTGCTTTAGATCCTCTGTCCCCCACTCTCTCTGCCCCTCCCCTGCTTGTGCTCTCTCTCTCTCTCTCAAAAATAAATTAAAAAAAAAAATCACCCAAATCATCATGAATGCTGTGGCCACATTCTCGTCCCCGCCCCCCCCCCACCCAAATCCCTACTCCAGGTGCAACCCAGTACAATTCAGAAAAATATTATTTCTTCAATGCATCGACACAGCTAACCCTGGAAGATGTTAGCATTAACTGCTGAAGTGATGAAGTAAACTACAATAATGTTGTGTTAAAGTTATGAGTTATCTGTATACACCGGGTATTTAATTGTAGTGTTTAAAAGATGGAATGATTAATAGATTAATATTGTGGTTCTAATTTAAAATGTGTAAATGAGATTTTGATTTAGATTTGTTTCAAATTAAAAGTTTAAGACGTTCTTATTAAATGTGTATAAATTACCGAAACATGAGAGGACATAAGATTACCCATATCTCGAAGTTTATTTATTAGATGTACAAGCATTATTTAAATGCTTGATGGTCTTTGTGAATCAGACAAGCGAACCCTTTGAAAATGAAAATTCAATGTATGAAATTTTAAGATGTGGCTTAAAAGAATTAGGGGAAATTAATTAACCAACTTCCCAAATCCCCCTTAGAAGTGTTTGTAAAAATTTTAAGATTAGTAAGTTGAACTCAAATAGTTAGGGAGATTTGTAGCTTTAATAATGACAATTTATTTTCATTAATGGCAGTAGCCCTGATATATCTTTTTTATTTTTAATTAAATTTATTACTGGGGCACCTGGGTGGCTCAGTCAGTTAAGCATCTGACTTCGGCTCAGGTCATGATCCCAAGGTTCATGAGTTTGAGCCCCATATCGGACTTGCTGTTGTCAGTACTGAGCCCACTTCGGATCCCCCGTTCCCCTCTCTCTCTGCCCCTCCCCTGCTCACACTCTCTTGCTCTCAAAATTAAATAAAACATTAAAAAAAACACACACACACACACACACAGAGATCTTCTGTATCCTTAACCCAGTCTCTCCCAATGGTAGCATTTTGCAAAATCACCTACAATTTCAGAACCATGAAATTGATGTTAAGACAGGCAAGATATAGAACGTTTCCATCACCGCAAGCATAGCTCATGTTGCCTTTTTTAAATGTTTTTTTTTTTAATGTTTTATTTATTTTTGAGACAGGGAGAGACAGAGCATGAACAGGGGAGGGTCAGAGAGAGGGAGACACAGAATCGGAAACAGGCTCCAGGCTCTGAGCAGTCAGCACAGAGCCCGACGCGGGGCTCGAACTCACGGACTGCGAGATCATGACCTGAGCCGAAGTCGGCCGCTTAACCGACTGAGCAGGCAACCCTCATGTTGCCTTTTATAGCCATAGTCTCTTCCCCTCCCCTTACCACCCTCCCCCAGCCTGTGTCCCTAACCCCTGGTGATCACTCATCCGTTCTCCATTTCTACAATTTTGTCATTCCCAGAATGCTACATAAATGGAATCGTAGAATATATAACTTCTGGAATTGGCTTTTTTTCACTCAGCAAAATTCTGTGGATTCATCCAAGTTATTGACTGTATCAACAATCCTTTCCTTTTATTTTTGCGAGAGACAGACAGAGCACGAGCAGAGGAAGGGCAGAGAGACGGAGGGAGACACAGAATCTGAACAATCCTTTCCTTTTTATCAATGGATAGTATTCCGTGGTATGGATGTACCATAGCTTATTTAACCATTAACCATTAAAGGACATCTGGATTGCTTCCAGTTTGAGAGTATTATGAATAAGGCTGCTATGGAACATTCATGCACTGGTTTTTGTGTGACCCTAAGTTGTCACGTCACGGGAATGAATGCCCAAGAGTGCAATTGTTGAACCGTGATGAGAACTGCATGTTGGTTTCATTAGAAACTGCCGAAGTCTTTTCCAGAGCGGCTGTAGCATTTTACATGCCCACCAGCAACACATGCATCGTCCAGCTTCTCCTCTTTGCCGGCATTCGGTGTTATCACTATTTTTCATTTTAGCCATTCTGATAGGCGTGTGGTGACAAGTCACTGTGGTGTAACTTGCATGGCCCTAATGGATAATGATGTCAAACATCTTTTCATGTGATTATTTACCATCTGGATATCCTCATCAGTGAAATGTCTCTTCGTGTCTTTTGCCCATTTGCTAACTGCATTGTTCTTCTGTTGAGAGTTCTCAATCTATTCTACGTAGCAGTCCTTTGTCAGATGCAGTTCGCAAACATTTTCTCCAAGTCTGTAGCTCGTCTTTTCATCCCCTTAACAGAGTCTTTCACAGAACAGGTTTTTACTTTTGATGATATCGAACTTCCGCATTTATTTCATTTTTCTTTTATGGATCAAGCTGTCGGTATAAAGTCTGAGAGCTTTTCACATGGCCATGGGTCCCAAAGATTTTTCTCTCCTGTATTTTCTTTCCTAAAAGGTGTACACTTTTACATGAACACATTTAATTTTTATTTCATTTTACAATTAATTTGGAGTTAAGTTTTGTCTAACTTCTGAAACTCAAGTCAAGGTTCTTTTTGTTTTTCTTTCTCTCTTTTTTTGTTTTTGTTTGTTTGTTTTTTCTTTTTGCCTATGGATGTCCACTTGCCCCAGCACTATTTGTGGAAAAGGCTTTCTTTTCCTCCACTGAGCTGTTTTTGCACCCTTGTCAAAAATCAGCCAGGCATATTTATGTGGCTCTATTTCTTGTTTCTCTGTCCTATTCCACTGGTGTAGGTGTTTATCTCTGCCCATTCTATGCTGTCTTGATTAATGTAGCTGTACAGTATGCCTTAGTATCAGGTAAAGTGATTCTTCCCACATTATCGTCCTTTCTCAAAATAGTTTATTCCAGGGCCTTGCTTTTCAATATAAATTTTATTTTTTATTTTTTTTT